ATTCTCAAAAAAATCGAAAATTTCAGTGGTCTATAAATAACTCAAAAAAAGTCGAAAATTAAACTGTATATCACTAMCATTAACATTTTWAATCATTATTTCGACTAGTTATGCTGTACACAGACACACAAAAAAAAAACACACATCATTGTAAAATCAATACATTCATCACTTCGTTCAGAATCTAAAACTATCAAAAGTAATGAATATAGTACCTCAAAGTATCCAAAAAACTTTAAATCAACCTCTACAATAAACAAAAATATCACGTGTAAATATAATAACTTGAGTAAAAATTGTCTTATAAATGTATAATGTAGTAGTAAGAATGATTTAGTTTTAAGTATGTCTATAGTGTATTTACCTACTATGTAATTGTACTGTAGTAGTGTAGTCTGTAATAAATTGTAATAAACTTCAACATTTTAACAAGCTACAAAGTACAACTCCAAATTTTTAATATAGCGTATTTTCCAATTTCTATGATAAGAAAAATTGATATAATTGTAATTTGTGATATCCCTTTACGCAGCCATTTTGTATCTGATGATAAAAATTTWAGTGGATATGCAATACCTTGTATATATTTTCAACCATGTTGCAGAGGTATTCAAACATTTTCATTCCGCAGCTCCTTTGGGTGTTAACAATATTTTGACGGCTCCCAAATTATTATGAAAAAACAACACATGGATACAATAAGACCAATATTTTATATGGGTGATAATAACAGTGTCACAGTGACTTTAATATAGAAATAAAACTTCAAATGTTTATGTCGTAAGGTGTGTCGTTTTCATTTATATAATGATTGCAAATAATATTCATGATAATTATACAAGACCTAGGTATGATTTTGGTTTCCGGTGCTTTAACACGACTACTTTTGCAAACTCAAGTGATGCCCCGGGGAGCCGCGACACACAGTTTGAATACCTATTTTATAGTGTGTTTCTTTTGAAAGGTAATACCATATCAGATTTGCACTCCTTAAATTCTCGCGCAACCTCATTTTCTATTTCTGTACTTATTGTATTTTGAGCTTCAATTTTTTCTATCTCTTGTTGGAAATCTTTCATAAATATTGATAAATTGTTAAACCTATAAACAATAGTTTTGTTTAAAACGTTTTGAACCAAGCTAATTATAATATGTATAAAATATTCAAATTACCGATCAGTATGTTTAATAATATTATCATTAGCTTGTTTGATGTTATTCAGGAGTAATTTGCATTCTGAAGATACTTTTTCATATGTTTTTAAAAGTTTGACTGAACTTAGAGATTGGAAATTAGGGTAATCTTAAAAAAAAAAATTTTTTATAAATTAGAGTAGGTACATATAAAAATCTTAATATAATTACTTAAAGGTTTTGTCTCTTTCAATAAATGGGTAATGCCATTAATAATGTTTTTTTTAACTTTAAGTACTTCTTGGTGTGTGGATGGATCTGCTGGATTTTTAACAAGGTTCATACATTGATATAACTGACTCACTCTTGCAGCCATAATTCTTACTTGATCTTTAAATTTGTTTAGTACATCAAAAAGGGTAAAGTTGTCAGTTAAAACTGTAGTATTGTCCAGGCATTCAATTTGTGATTGTAGAATATTTTTGGTCAAACTACGACTCTGAAAAAAAT